CAGGAAAGAGATCTTTCTTTCCTTCTCATGTACCACAGTGGGCTCCCCTGGTGGCTCAGTGGTAAAGAATCCGCCTGCCAATGCAGGAGACACAGGTTCACTCCCTGGGTCAGGAAGATCCCCAGAGGAGGAAATGGCAACCCACTCCAGTATTCTTGCCTGGAAAAACCCCATGGACAGAGGAGCCTGGCAGGCTACAGTCCATGGGATTGCAGAGAGTTGGACACGACTGAGCACAGACACACACATACACCACAGACCAAGTCCCCCTGTGGTCATCTTATACCCTAATGGGGCCCGTGGAGGGAATCTCCTGGACAGCAAGGAGATCAAACCAGTCAATCCTAAAGGAGATCAACCCTTAATATTCATTGGAAAGACTGATGCTGAAGCTGAAGCTCCAATACTTTGGCCACCTGATATGAAAAGCCGACTCACTGGAAAAGATCCTGATGCTGGGAAAGATTGAAGGCAGGAGAAGGGGGCGACAGAGGATGAAATGGTTCTATAGCATCACTGACCAAATGGTCATGAGATTGAGCAAATTCTGGGAGATAGTGAAGGACAGGGAAGTCTGATGCACTGCAGTCCATGGGGTTGCAAAGAGTCAGACATGACTTAACAACTGAACAATAACATCTTTCAATATGTGAAATACAATGTTTGATTTTTGAATGTTGAACTTGACATTCCTGGGATAAACGCTACCTGATCTTCTCATATATAGCATTGTGTTTTACTACCTAATATTTTGTTAAGGAGTTTTGCATCTCTCTTCACGAGGGATACTGAGCAAACTCCGGGTGATGGTGAAGGACAGGGAAGCCTGATGTGCTGCAGTCCGTGGGGGTTTGCAGAGTCGGATATGACTGACTGAGTGAACAGGACAAAGCAGGAGCCGTGGGGAATCCACGCAGCCCGTTGTCCATTTGTGAGTCTCCCGGCGCTTCACGGGCCTGCCTGCTCTTAGCTTCTAGCTCTCAGCTTAAATGTCTCCTGCCCTGACTTGTACTGAGAGTTTTAGAAGCCTTTACCTCCAACCAACAGCATTGTTCTCTATCTGCCTGGCAGCCTGCAGGCTGGCTTCCCAGGGCTCAGCGCATGTGTCTGATGCAGTAGGTTTCCATGTCTGTCATCTCCCCGCTGGGCAGGGTCGGCATCTGGTGCAGCGTCCCCCTGGAAGAGGAGCTCCAACCTCTGCGTCGAGGAGGGAGAGGCCTGAGCCCAAGGGCTGGGACGCGGCAGTGGAAGAGGCCAGTGAAGACTCCTGTCTGCGGGCCCCTGGCATGGCCACCCCACTAGAAGTCATAAGAGCTGAGCAGTCTACCACGGGGGGTTCCGGAGATCGTAGGGGGCCAAGGCACTCTGCCAGCGCACAGCGTTCTCAAGTGCTGTTTATTTCCACGTGCTTGGTTCCATTTACGGCAAGCCCATCTGCTTTCCGGGATCCCTTTGTTAGGAGAGAAGAGGCAGGAGGTGGAGGAGGACCCAGCATCTCCCAGAGTTCAGGGCCACACAGGGATCACCGTCATCAGTAATGGCGGGGTGTGGGGTACCCTCAAGCCTGTCTGCGTGCTTAGTTCGGAGCCGTGGCCCAGACCTCACCCCAGAGGTTCTGATTTAATCGGTCCAAGAGGAGGCACAGGTAGAGGGGCAGACAGCTCTCCGGCGATTCTATGGTGCGCCTGAGGCTGGGGACCCGGCCCTTCCACCCGCCCGCTCCCCGGCTTACAGATGAGTAAGTAGAGGTCAGGAGTGTAACGGTACTGACCTCGCAGCCCTGCTCCCTCTCACGGGACATGGGGCAGAGCCGGGCCACGGACACCCCCTAGCGGGACTGAGTTTGCTCCACAGCAGCGCTGAGTCTGAGGTCCTTCTCTCGCATTTCAGATGAGAAAGGGTGTCCACATCTGTGACAAAGCTCCTTGGGGTCGCCCCACTGCCTGCGGCAGCTACCGCTGTGTTTCACTGCTTCCAGTGAGGACGTTCTGAGATGGATACAAGCCAGGCAAACGCCGTGACCTTTCACAGCGGGCAGAGGGTCAGAGTGGACCACAGCAAGTGGAGAGATCCATTCAGGTGATGGTTACGGCAAGGCGTACCCTGACGTTAAGGAGAAACACAAAACCCTTGGCAAGGGGCACTTCAGTCTATATTTGAGGGGACACACGTGGCTTGTTTTGTTCAGATGGAACATAGCTCACAAGTGTAAAAAAGTGGGAAATCCTTTGATGCACTCCAGGGTCCTGTGTTGTCTCAGGTGGTGGTGAGGGGGTCTCGGAGGTCTTGCTTCTGCAGACATTCACTTGTTAGACACCCTGGGTGTCAAAGGAGAAACACCTCTTATATAAACAATTTAGACATTCTAAAACGAATGAAGAAATCAGGGTGCATTTTATATGTTTGGATTTAACAAATGAATGCTTTCAAACACACACCCAGGTGTGCGATGCAAGATGATCATGCTGTTTACAAGATAATAACAGGGTTTCTAAGAGTGTGGAATCATAACACACTGTTTAGGGGTATTGGTGTTTAGGTGGTGTCTGACAATGGGCCACAAGAAGCAAGTTGTGTAGTGAGCATCTTTCTGTTGTGTGGTGTTGCTTTATCAGTGGGCATCTTGGCTAGGGCTACTAAGACAGAACAACACTGACCGAGTGACTTAAACAACAGACATTCGATTCTCAAGAGTTCTGGAAATCCTGGAACAAAGTGCTGATGAACTTGGTTCCTGATGACAGCATTCTTCTGGGCTTGAAGACTTGAGTCCTCACATAAAGGAGAGAGACAGAGATCTCTTGTGTCTCTTCTTAGAGGACACTAATCCCATCAGGAGGGCTCCAACCTCTGAACCAATTGTCTCCCAAAGGCCCCACCTCCTAATACCTTCACACTGGGGGTTCAGGTTTTAGCATATGAATTTGGGAAGGGGAGACACAATTCAGTCTGTAGCACTGGGTGCCTTACAGCTTTTGAGAGTTCTATCAGGGGTCTTTATTCTGAGACCCTTTGTGAACGTGAAGTTTGAGTCAAGGGTCCCTGCCTCTGATCCCCTCCAGGGCCTGCCCTCAGCCTACTTACATTTTCCGAGAATGGGGGGCAGAAAGCAGGGAGGAGGGGAACCTGGGGGTACAGGGGGGTCAAGGATACTGTTGATCACATAAATCCTGATATGTCTGTGGCTCAGAGTACTATGTAACTGTTAAAAGGAAAGTTTAATTTGGGGCATAATTTTGGCTAATCAATCTGTATAAGCACATATACCATTTATGATTGATCATTAAATAATTTGTACAAAGGGTTTATTTGATTTCCACACACACTCCATTTAGTTTTCAGGATAATCAAGGGCCACGCGTGAACAAGGTTGTACTGCGCACGCACAGACATGCAGACACACACACTTACATCTCCTCTCTTACGGGCCCTGGGGCCTGGCTCTTGCTGCTCTCTCTCCCCCCGCCCCATCAAGTCCCTGAGGGGTCCTCTTTGCCACGGGACCACCCTCAAAGGAAGAGTCGGGGGCAGCGAGGAACTGGGCAGTGGAAGTTTGCTGCACATTTTCTGGGTGAAGGAAGATGGCAAGAATGCACTCTCAGCACAGCTGCCTCCCTCTTGACCCCTGGGGACCCAGCCACGGGGTGGCTCACCCTTGGCCTCACACCCCTCCTGGCCTCACCATCCCCCCCACCCCCGGGCCAGTGAGGAGTCTGTCTCTGTGGGCCCTATACTCTCAAGGTGGTCTTCTCCCCTGGTGGGTACCAAATCTGTGCTGCCTGAGCCTCATTTGGGGATTTGGGGAGCCTGTCAAAGGCCCTCGGGTGAAGCCCTGGACCCACTTTATCACCAGCACCTTCTGCAGCAGGCAGCCTTCTGGGAAGTAGTGTCTCACTGTTATGCTTTTGTTGACAGCTCCTGGGACTTCCCAGGTGGTTCAGTGGTCAGGAACCTGCCTGCCACTGCAGGAGACACAGGAGACTTGGATTCGATCCCTGGGTGGGGGAGATCCCCTGGAGGAGGAAATGGCAACCCACTCCAGTATTCTTGTCTGGAGAATCCCATGGACAGAGGCATCGCAAAGAGTCGGACATGACTGAGCATACACCCTGCTGCACGCTGACCACTCTTAGGAAGAACACTGACCCAATCCTTCACTCCCAGCGCCCAGTGACTCAGAATCTGAGGAGTTCAGTAACTGTGTATCGAGCTACGGGTTCTGGGTCCTCAAATACAACGATAACTGAGAAGCACTTGGGTCTCTGGCAGGCACATGCAGTCTGCTTTCTGGATTTAAAATGACCTGGGTTCCCCTCACCGTTTATTGGGAGTGTGGTGCAGTGTCATCTTTGTCTCCCCATCAGTCGAAGGAACGTAATACACCCAGGGGAGTTGTGCGATCACACGAGAGAAGAAAAGGGCCCACGGATGGGGCTGACCAGAGGGGGTCACCGGTGGGCTGGGGGAGGGGAAGTGGGACCTTTGCCAAGGCCAGGGGCACAGGTGGGCCAGGGGCACAGGTGGGCCAGGGGCCCATCTCCTCCAGCGACTTACGTGACCCTGGCCCAGGTTCCCAGAACGCAGGTCTCCCCACCTCCCGCCACCTTGGGAGTGGAGGCATCTGTGTTAAAGCTCATCTCTGATTTGCCCCAGAGTCAGGGGCTAGACTTCTGGACCCTACCATCACCTGATAACCATCCCCCTGCGTTAAAGTCCCTCCGTTTTCAATGGACAAGTAGTTCCTGTTTTTTGTTAGACCCTGGGGTGCTACAGAACGAAAGGACTGGGAGGCAGTCAACTGACCAGGTTCGGTGGGGAGGGATTTGCAGGTGGATGCGCCCTCAAGACCTGGCCAGAGAGGGAAGGATCCTAGGAAGGAGGGCTTGGAGGTTTGCAAATAAGGAGTTGGCTGAGGCTGCTGCGGGGGGTATGGATGTGGGAGCCCCCACCCCCCAGGCCCTCCGCGGCTCTCTGCCTCAGTTGCTGCGGCGGCTCCACCATCAGCCTCCAGGGGCCACGGTCCCGGTGCCCCAGGCAGAGCAGCCGAACACAGGGACCGCGGTCCCCCGCCTCCTGCAGCCCGGGTCGCGGTCCCCGCGCCGGCCAGAGATCCAGCCTCGGAAGGACTGTCGGGGGCGGGGCGGACTTGGGCCCGCGGAGGCTGGAGGTGGGTGAGGCAGTGGCGCGTTTCCCATCGCCTCCCCTCCGCCCTCGATGGTGGGGCTGGCTCGGTCTGTGGGTCGTCTGGGGTGGGGACCACTGTGGCCCCGGCGCTGACCTGGGCTTCCCGCCCACCCCCTCCGCATCGCTGCCTCGCTTCCCGCTGCCCTGGGGACCGAGCCCCAAGACGGAAGGTGGGTGGTTTCTTGCCTGAGTTACCGGGCTGGAAAAGGGGAGGCCAACCCGTGGAGGCCTCTAGTGGCATTTTCAGGAGTTCAGATACCTCATCGCTGCTGTCAGGAGTAAATGACTCCATGCATTTCCTAGACCGATGCCTGGCTCATGGTTCGAACTCTCTAGCGGTTGCTTGCTATTCCTTCAGGAGGTGTCTACAATTTCCCTCCCGCCTCCTTTTCCCTCCCCCTCTCATCCTGTAAACCACCCCGCCCCCCAGGTACCTAGCACTTCGTCCCCACCAGATTGCTCCTTAGTCACAACAATATGGCCTCGGTCTTTGTCTATCAAAAAATCCCAGCAACCGCCCACCCCAGTCTTGGGCCAGAAATCCCTTGGCAGTCTCCTCTTGTCCTCCCTGGCCCTCTGCACCCTAGAGACCATTTCCCAGGCCTCCACAATGAAGCCAACCCTCTTAAAAGACTCTGTTTTAAACCTTGCAAAGGGCTTCCAACACCTCCCCCAGGCCCCATTTGCAAATACTTTGCTCTTTGCAAATAAAGCAGCAGAGACCTTGGGAGCATGTGGACAATTTAACAAATGGATCAAAAGCTAGTGCTTTAAAAAATTGTAGCTCAATTCAGAAATGTCTTAACTTCAGTAAGTAATTTGAACACCCTCTCCCGCATCTTCCTCTCATCACCAGATTATTCAAATTTTTTCCTGAATACAATTACTGTATTTCTTTATGTTATTTTTTTTTTTTAACAGAAAAGATGCTTTAGCCAATTCAGTGGGGTTAACAAAGTTAGAGGGAAATGCTTGTGTGCTAAGTCGCTTCAGTTGTGTCTGACTCTTTGTGGTCCTATGGACTTTAGGCCACCAGGTTCCTCTATCGAGGGGATGCTCCAGGCAAGAATACTAGAGTGGGTTGCCATGCCCTCCTCCAGGGGATCTTCCCGACTTAGGGATCAAACCTGTGACTCTTTCCTCTCTGGCATTGGCCGGCGGGTTCTTTACCACTAGCGCCACCTGTGGAAGCCCATTTATGTGTGAAGACACATGCATTTCATTGGCACTGGTCGTTATATAAAGTACAAATTATTCCTTATTCAAAGAAAAAATTTTTTTAAATTAGAAGAAAAGCAAGAGGCACAATTTCTGACATAAGGTAGGTGACTATGCCTTTGTTGAAATTCACAAGATGTAAATAAACACATGTAGCTCCATCTACTCATACATATATGCACACAGGCACAGACACAAAATTTGGACGCACTCATTCATTCGGACAGGTTTCCTTTCCGTCTAACTTAGCTCACCTTTATTACATCCGAGTACATCAGCGTGAATCATTTTCGCTTTGCTGTCTGCACTGCCCAGAGCTGGGCGTGTGTGTAGGTGCTGCCCTCTGGTGGAACTTTTAAGACTTGCATGCTCAGCCGAATGAAAGAAATCCTAGTTTCCACCTTTCAAGAGCTCAGTAAGCATTAGTTAATCGCACTGTATGGTTGTTATTTATTTAACGACTGACAGAGAAAGAGGAAATTATGAAGGTGACAGCAAAGGAGCATCCACAGGAAAACCCCCATAGAGTCTAGGACAGTGATGAGTTCCAAGTCGCCTCCAGTAAATATTTGATTGATTAAAAAGATAATCCTGAAGGCTGTATGTAGATAAACTGGGGTTCTCTGACGGCAACCAAAGTGACCTAATTCTATGCAAGCCCCGAGAATCCTGCTGAATCTGGACATTTTTCAATACTTCTTGTCATCACTTAATCCACCCAGCCCTGTGGCAGAGGTGTGAGGCCCTTCTCCATCGGCTGTTTGGGTTACAGCCATTCTCTACTCAAAGGGAGTTAAAGGATTTAGAGATGAAACATGCGTTCTTAAACAGTGAAGTCTCTGCCTTGGGACCTTGATTCAACCTGGCATCCATATCTGATGCACAGTAGCAGTTTCGCTCTGATTCCACGCAGAGGAAAATAGCATGCTTTGCTGGAAGGGGCAGGTCAGGGAGCTGAGAATTTAGTCAGAAAATACAGGTCGGGATGGACAGGCACTCTGGCACATTTGCCCATTGTCTTGGCAAACCTTGAAAGATGGACTGTCTCTAGCTACACCTGTCCCTCATTAAGCTGTCCAAAGAAAGACCAGCACCTCTGCCCAGGACAGAGGCTGTCACTGAGCGGAGACCAGACAGGTTGCTGTCGGGCCCTCTTCAGAGCCTGAAGCGATACTTCATCCCCCTTTCCAGCCAAGACTTGAGGAGGAAAAAAATAGCACATCTTACAGAGAGGGTTTTCCTGTTAGCCAAAGTAACAGGTGTTTTGGAGTATGAGTAAAAGCAAGAATTTCCATTTAACTCTCAGGAAAAAAGAAAGGAAGCCTCTGTTCAGAGGAATAGAGGTTTAATACAGGGTTTTGGGGTTCACACACTGTGAGAAGAAATTGGGGGAGGGAAAGCAGGTGGGAGGTTACAGAAAGAGCTGGAAGGGCAGCCTGAAACCCCTAAGGGCTGGTTTCTCTATAAAGTTTGGTGGGAAGTTGCTACAATTCTCAAGAACCTCTGGGAAATTTCTCACCCAATCAGATGTTTGCCAAGAAGCCTGGAAAACACTGTGGATCTTGTGTCTGGTTGGGCCCCTGGGGATATATAATGCACTGTGCGCCAAATATAAATGATTCGGCGATTCTTCTTACAGAGAACCTTTTCACTGGCTGCCCTCCAATGAGATCCTCATCCGTCAACAAGGACGGTCACCACAGCTCCCCAGGAGACCGTGGCAGCCTGTCCCACTGGTGGCCCCAGTGAACCATGCCTTCTGGTTCTCATACTACCTGCTGAGCTGGTCCTGTGATTGACTTAATTAACAGTATTAAGAAGCAGAAGAGCATAGTGCTCTTTTCTGTCTTAAGCCATGAGGCTTGGCAGTTTCTGCCTTTGCTTTATCAGAAGCCCTGAGCAGCTGTGGCAGAATTCTGGCCACTCTGCTGGAGGGATCATGTCGAGGAGAGGCCTGTGTGTCCCAGCCTGCCCACGGCTGAATGTAGGCGTGGGAGTACCACTGCCATGCCCATCACCAGTCCAGATGAACTGTAGAATTGTAAGCAAACAAAATGATTGCTGAGTGTAAACCACTAAGTCTCAGGGTGGATTATACATTGTAAGAGAGAAGTGAAGCCCTTACTTTCCCTAAATCTGACGGAGCTCCTATTTAAGTTTTCTAAATGGAATTTTCTGAAAATCCCATTTGCCACACCATCGTCCACTCTAAGTTCTTATCCAGTCAGGGTTGTCATATACAGTTGTAGGGGTTGTGCACTGCACCAGGGGATCCGGCCAAGGGAGCCAATGAGGACTTCTTGCTGGGCCTAGAGAGGGCAGCCTTTCTAAATCATGTAAGGGAGACTCTGACAAAGAATATTCAGTTGAATTAAACCCAAAATTATTGACTTGGCCTCCAAGTTTCCTCTAACTGCTTCATGCCACTTTCACTCCCCACTCCATCTTTCTCCAGCAGTTTCTCATTACTTGCCTGTGGTCTTAATCCAGCTTAATTCCGGCCTCCCTCAGACATGCCCACTCTGCTTTCCATTAATAGCAGTTTCCAAACTGAGGCCTGTCCTTCCAGGGCAGGACACAAGTGCAGCCACCAGCTCTCCGTGGCCTTAGGCATGATGTTGCTTTCTTTCAGTCTGGTAAACTTCAGAGGAGCTGATGTTTACTTGCATGCTCAGTCACTAAGTCGTGTCCAGCTCTTTGCCACCCCATGGACTGTAGCCTGCCAGGCTCCTTTGTCCATGTAATTCTCCAGGCAAGAATACTGGAGTGGGTTGCCATTTCCTTTTACTTACAGGCACACTTTTTTTTTTTTTTTTTTTTTTTGTGGGACAAAGTCTCTTTCTTGAGACCTTTATTATTTTTTTTTCCATTTATTTTTATTAGTTGGAGGCTAATTACTTTACAACATTGCAGTGGTTTTTGTCATACATTGAAATGAATTAGCCATGGATTTACATGTATTCCCCATCCCGGTCCCCCCTCCCACCTCCCTCTCCACCCAATCCCTCTGGGTCTTCCCAGTGCACCAGGCCCGAGCACTTGTCTCATGCATCCAACCTGGGCTGGTGATCTTACAGGCACACTTTTAAAGGATTCCCAAGCATGTTAAAGTAAGAAGGAACAGTGAAGCCACCTGCTGGCATTCTGTTTCTGTCTCCATAGGTAGAGGACTGAGCCCAATGGCACAGGAGTGGCTCTGACCCCCAGAGGGTTGTGTTCCACTGGACAGAGGTCCAGAGGCACTGCATGAGCCAGAGGAGCTGGTCTCCTGGGGAAATGCTTTTCCTCACAATTCACAGCACAACCAGAATTCAGAATGTTCCAGCAGGCTGTGCAAATGGACCGGCGTGACACGGGATACATGTTGTCGAACTTTGTAATCTTACCCTCTATTAAATATTCAGCACAGACGATTCGATCTCTTCCTTTTCTCAGTTTCTCCCTTCTTCCTCTATCCCCACCCCCTTCCTGCCTCTTTTCCACTTTTTTTTTTTTTAAAGTCTGCCTTTTGGGAAATGCCCATTCAGAATGGCTTTCCTGTCAAGGATACAGCCAAAGGGATTTCCAGACACGGGGCAAGCATACAGAGTGTTTTCTTTCATTCTGGATTCTTTAGAGAAATCGAAGTTGCAGCCTGGTGGGGCTGAAGAAGCAACTGCTTTGAGATGCAAGTCCCACTGGGATCATCCCTGATCCTACCTTGACAATAGCCAAGGAGCCCCCTGTTGGGGAGGGAAGGGAAGGGGATGGGATGCCTGGCTGTGTGCAGGAAGGTTGCTCAGGACAACTAGCCTCTCAGGAAGTGAAGCTCAGCATCATTCAGGGAAGCAGGCTAGCCTGCCAATTTCTAGGCTCATCATTATTAAGAGTGGTCCATCTGGGCCCTTGATCTCTACAAATATTGAAGGATGAGAGGCCTGAATGCAAAATATTTGCCCCAGAACAATAGTTTGGCACCTGGGTGGTACAAAATAGAAGTAGTAGTAATCATACTTTTATTATACAAGTTTTAATTGCTACTTTTGACTGAGCAAATACGCCCTGTGAAGTTCTCTTCTATATTACCTCATTTAATCATGACCAAAAACTCCATGACATCGGTGACATCTACTTACCTGTGTCATGAAGATGAGAACACTGAAGCTCAGAGTTGAAGTAATGTTTCCAAGCTGGTCGGTGGCAGATCTGGGAGTCAGATCGCATCTGAGCGAGGCCCATGCTCGCATTCTTCCCTACCTCCCTGCCCTGCCCACCAGGCCGTGAGCATCCCCTAGGTCTCCAGCAGCACAAACGAGGCTCCCCTGGGAGCAGAGAGAAGCTCGATCATCCTCCTACACCCTTTCTGCCCACAGCTGCCATCTCAGCAAGGATACAGAGCAGGCCCTTCTGGACTGCTCTGCACTGTGCTAGGATACTGCCCTTTGGGTTTGAGGAATCCTGAAATAAAGCAACGTTTCTTATAACAAGTTGCCTTATGCTCAGTCTCTGCGGTCCTGGCCAAGCCTCAAGGCTCTTGCTAGCTACACAGAGAGCAGGTTTGGTTTCCAAGAACAGCAGGCTGTTTCCCAGTCCTCAGGGGGACTGGTGTGGAGGGGCTGGGCTGGGGGTGTGGACTCAGGCCCTTCACTGTTCCCCACCTAGGTGCTTGCCCAGTGTTCTCCACGCAAGGGAAGAATCAAGTCTGTGAAGCCTAGCTTCAGATCTGATGTATATCTGTAGTTTCCTCAAAACCCTCTTTACAGGCCATCCATTCCTTCTAGTGAGGCCATGAGAAAATCTAATATGGTGTAAAAGCAGTTGCCTCTTGGGATGAATTTTCTTGAGCAGAGGACAAGTGCTTTTGCAGGGAGAGAGCATTCTCCCCCTCGGCCCCATCAGGGGGAGCTCTAGTGAGAAGGTGGCTGGTGTGGGACAGGAGGTGGGACAGTCAGCTGACTGGGTCATGCTGCTTCTTTCATGCCCCTGGTATTCACGAACTGCTTGTCAAGTGATGTCGCTTTAATAGTCTCTCCATTTTCCTTCCAAGTCTGGACTTCAGGAAGAATCCAGCTGGGAGGCAGGGCTAGAGTGGGGGAGAATAGATATGAAGATAGAGGTTAGGTTCTTATCACATTCTAAGTATGATAGAGATCAGATTTCATTTAAAAAAAAAAAAGTTGTTTTGGCCTTGCTGAGTGGCATTTGGGATTGAGCTCTGACCAGAGATTGAACCTGTGCCCCTGAAGTGGAAGCACAGAGTCTTAACCACGGACCACCAGGGAAGTCCCTAGACTTCATTGTTTATCTATTTAAACTTTGTCTCAATCCATGTGGAGTAAGTATCATCATCAAGCCCACTGCAACAAGCTACCAAGAAAGGCAGTGGGGTCATAGACCCTGGGTTTCTCAGAGAAGGAATTCTATGAGCTCCTGTCCATCGTGGATACTTGGATACTGTGTCTATATAAAGCCAGAGATGTGGGATGGGTAGAGACCCCCTTTACACACACCCAGGAGACCTTGGCGTGCCTGCCTTCAGGGCTCCTAGAACCAAAAAGCAGTGGGACCAGCACACTGGGTTAGAAGCTGGGATTCTGGGTTTAAGGACTAGTTTCTCAGTCTCCTGATCAGACCTTCACTAAGTCTCCTAACCCCTCCAGGCTCACCTTCTCATTTGTGAATTGAGGACCCATAATTATGATGGTGGAAAGGATGCTTCTTTCTTGAGGAAGCCACCAGAAATCCATAAATTAACAGCTGGGGAACTGGTTCATCAGCCCCAGCACACTCCACAGATGTAAAGTATAGATGTGCCTACATATTTGAGACCATCTCACCACTGTGCCTGGCAGAATGTCACACGTGGAGGATGTGCTCAAGAAGAATACATTTATAATGCCCTTTTCTGGTTACACTTTCAAAGTCATGGTTATTTTTCTAGAGCAGGATATCAACATTAAAAATTTTTTGTATCACAGATCTCTTTGAACCTCTGATAAAGTCATGAACATTTTCTTCCTCAAAAAGGAAGAAAAAAACCCCTCCCCCCCAGCAAACTAAACCATGCTAAAGTGTATATCTCATAACATTTACTACAATTTCCAGGGGCTCATAGTTTCCTCTGACGCCCATCTTAGCTTAACAAAATGCCTGTGCTGGAGATTTTCAGGCTTCAGTTCTCTGAAGTTTTGGAGAGAAATAGACTGTGTAGAAAAATGAATGCAATAATAATATGTAGCATTTGGCTGGGAAAACTTCTAGAGGTAATCTCCCTGAGATTGTTGGCACTAGTGGTAAAGAATCTGCCTGCCAGTGCAGGAGACCCGAGAGGAGTGATTCGCTCCCTGGGTTGGGAAGATCTCCTGGAGTAGGAAATGACAACCCACTCTAGTATTCTTGCCTGGAAATTCTGTGGACAGAGATCCTGTTGGGCTACAGTCCATGGGGTCGCAAAGAGTCAGACACGTCTGAGCATACATACATAGCGAATCTTATTTAAATGAAAACGTGTTCAAGCTAAAGAAAGCGATTTGCCCCATACATGTGGCCACCCTCAGTTCTCTGAGGCTTTTGTGCAGAAAGTTGTGGTAAGATATCTGAATCCTCCTGTCTCTACAATAGACTGCTATCCGGTAACAGAGGCGGTAAGAGGTCTCCTTACTGCGGGGTGAGGCACCTCCAGGTCGCTGGGATGCTCCTCAGAGTCCAGCTTATCAGGGATCTGAGAGCCTCTTATCAAAGGTCCTGGCTGTGTCCACCCAGGCGCATCTCAGGGGGACTGGATTTTACCTCCAGCAACATGCTATTTTTGGCTTAGCGCTGTCTTTGCGAAGTAGGATTTCAGGCATTTTGGCCACGGGGAATTCAGGACCAGGGCCAGCTCAACAGAGGTGGAAACCTAAAAACCCACAGCAAGATCCAGTCAAACCGAGTGAGACCACATCCAGAAATGCAAAAGGGAAAGGAGAGAAAATAGCTGAGCAGGGAAACGCGGCGTCCCACGTTCCCATCCAGCTGGGACCTTTGATGGAACAGCGAGGAAGGTATTTGCCCCCTGGGGTGCTTCAAGCCAGTCAGGGAGCTTGCTTTTAAAGCTCAGGGCGCTGCTCCCTCAAGTCCTCAGGTGGTTTATGGCATCTCGGTTATTGGATGTGAAAGTTTCCCCCATGAGAGATGCCCGGGTTGCCCGCCTGACCGAGCCCACACTCGCTGGGATTCCGGGACTCAGGGGCCCCGGGGAAGGCAGATGGGGGCAGTCCTGCAGGTTGGCTCCCGCGCCCGCAGCTAGATCAAGTGGCGCCGCGCAGGCAGCTGGAAGGCACCCACACAGAGAAACCCAGCACCATGCTCAGAAAGCTCCACTCCATCCTTCACTCCGGCCAGCACAGGAAGGCAGAGGTGGCGGAGAGCCCTCACTACCACGGCCCCAGCCCCGCCGTCAGGCTGACCCGCACCAGCTCCGTGTACGTGGTCGGGGACCACGGCGAGAAGTTCAGCGAGTCCTTAAAGAAATACCGGAGCGCCGGCAGCATGGACACCAGCCTGTGCTACCTGCGGCGGGAGGGGGACCGCGCGTGGATGCTCTCGCGCACCCAGGACTGCCTGCACTACTTACAGGAGCTGCTGGCCTTGCGCAAGAAGTACCTTAGCAGCCTCAACGACCTGAAGCCCAGCCGCGCGCCGGGCTTCTCCTCCACCTCCTCGAAATCCTCCAGGGCCGTAAAGAAGTGCGCCGCCAAAGAAATGAAGGTAAGTGCCACTGTGGGCTTCCGTGGTGGCTCAGATGGTAAAGAAATTGCCTGCAATGTAGGAGACCAGGGTTCCATCCCTGGGTCAGGATGATGCCCTGGAGGAGGAAATGGCAACCCACTCCAGTATTCTTGCCTGGAGAATCCCATGGACAGAGGAGCCTGGTGGGCTATAGTCCTTGGGATCAGTCGGACATGGCTGAACAACTAACACTTTTTCAATTTCTCTGAAGTGCCCCCAAGAAATACTATGGACAAAAACATTTTTCCAAGAGGCGAGTGGGAACCCTGGCTCATCCAAGCACAGCTCAGTTAATCTGCGTGTTCTGGGCACCAGCTCCAAGACCTCAGAGAGTCGCCATGGCCATCTCCCAGGCCTGGGAAGGGTGGCTGGTCCCATGCTGAGTTTTTGCGTGGAGGCCTGGGCGATGGGGGTACAGTCTCTGGCATCCCCAGAGCAGCCCACAAGGAGGGCTTGGGCTTGGTCTTCAGGCCAACAGTTTGCCTGTCACTTACTGCCCACTCCCTGGGTGAGAGAAGGCTTTTATGACATTTGCGTGACAGCACATCACTTCAACACTTCACTCCTCAGCAAGTTATTGTTGTTGCTTTTATTATTACAATCACATCTGAAAGTCCCAGTGAAAAGCAAACATTGGGAGGATTTGCTCTGTCTGTGTGGGGTGCTCAGGTCCTCAGGGGACCTGGTCACAGCCTCAGAGAGAGTCTGTGACTCCAGGAGACTGAATGACAACTTTGCTGGGCACTGGAGTCCTCCTGCTCAGGCAGACCAAGCAGGAAATCAGTGAGGGGAAGGACCTGCATTTTATGGTTGCCCTGGTGGCTCAGACGGTCAAGAATCTGCCTGCAATGAAGAAGACCTGGGTTCGGTCCCTGGGTCGGGAAAATCCCCTGGAGAAGGGAATAGCTACTCATTCCAGTGTTCTTGCCTGGAGAACTCCATGGACAGAGGAGCTTGATGGACAACAGTCCATGGGGTCGCAAAGAGTCAGACGTGACTGCGTGACTAACATTTTCACTTGTACTTATCACAGTGTTTGTACACATTATGTTTTTTGGAGGTGATTCCAATAATGCCAGAAGAGAAGCGGGGGGAGAAAGTCCCCTTGGGATCACAGAAGAACAAGCTGAGACTCGGTGACCAGATTTTGCTAAGACCCAAATCTCATTGTTACTTGTTCCTTTGTTCCCTAAATTTTTTTTTAATGTCTGAAGTTTGAGGCTGTTTCAAATCCCCATCAATCATTCTCCTGAGCTCTAAGGTGTTCAGAGCAGGCCTTTCTGCCCTCTCAGCTCCTACCCCATCCTGGCTGCCTCCCCAGAGTGTTCTGCAGGCCTGCAAGTCCCATTAACACTGACCAGCTGGTCTGTTATCAGATCTCTAGGGCCTGGCCTCACCCAACTGGTTTCAACTGTCTGCATTTTATCCCATGTGGGAGCAGTTTAAATAACCATTTGAACTCTCAAAGTAGGTCAGCGTTGGGGCCCATATGAAGTATCCTACTCTCAGGTATGGGTACTGATCCTGCAGCCAGCCAGTTGTAGATTTGGGGGCCTGACACCCTCCTTTGGGGCCACCTCCTCCTCTGAGATCACCTCCAATGACAGAGGGGTCACCGTGGCTTCTGGGCTCCTCTCCAGCTTGACTGGCCTGCGGTTCTCTGCTCCGGTTAGATTCCCCCCGGGCACTTTGTGCATGGTGTGTGCTAAGTTGCTTCAGTCGTGTCCGATTCTTTGCAACCCCTTGGACTGTAGTCTGCTAGGCTCCTCTGTCCCTGGGATTCTCCAGGCAAGAATGCTAGAGTGGGTTGCCATGCCCTCTTCCAGGGGATCTTTCTGACCCAGGGACCGAAGCCACATCTCTTGGGTCTCTTGCTTTGGCAGGTGGGTTATTTACCACTAGCACCACCTGAGAAGCCCTGTGGTCTCTGTAGCCTTGAAATATTGAGTTTGTTTTGTCAACTTGTGTACTAGGGAGAAAGCTGGGGAGAGAGTGTGAGCACAGCTATAAAAGCATTTTCATAATGAATAGGTACCGTGTCTTCAAATCATTTCAGCAGAAATACTTCCTTACTTCCTAATCATTCTACAGAGGGTCTGAGAGGATTCATATACCAGCAGCATAAGGTGCCAACAGACATTGGAAAGCTGGGAGAGAAAAAGCATCCACAGAAAATCAAGACAGCTCAAGAAAACATGCAAATCCTACAGCTGTGTTTGGCTTTGCACTTCCTGGGAGCTACAACGTAAAAAGAGCAGGACTTATTTCAAAATTCTAACTAAGAGGAAGAACCATACCTATTGCTTAGAGGAATCCAGATTTTTCCCAGTCTTAAATTCTAAACTTTCTCATAGAGGATCTGATACGGGGAACCATGGGTGATGTCATTTGTAATATGCCCTCACTGATATTTTAGTAACAATTCATCAATGAGTGTATCATTCCTTCTTTCCTTCCTTCACTTAACAACATATATTTATTGAGCACATACTATGTGTCAGGAACTCTTCAAGATGCTGTTAAACGAGCCAAAGTTCTTATTCTCATGGATGATCATTCTTGTGGGAAAGGCAGGCAGTGACCCAGGATGCAGATTTCTGGAGGCGATTTCTCAGAGCCCTTGTAGGTGACCGCCAGGTCGCACAAGATATGTGTCCTAGTGAGGAACTCGGGAAGGGATCTGGCTGTGTAATTCCTGCCGGTCCTTTTGGACCCAGTGGAGGATTCAAATGCCAGAGGCATGTGGGTTGGGGGGGAACCACACGCCCTTCCAAAATCTCTGTCAAAGTCCCCTAAAGATGTGGTGCACCCTCTGAGAGAAAAAGCCCGTGAGAAGTTAAAAGCTGTCCTGCTGCGCTTCTCGCTGTTTCTCCCCTCATCCCAGCACTTCGGGTAGCAAATTGCTCTCCTTCAGCCTGCTTTGGGGTCTGGTCTGGAACAGGACTGGCCTCAGCCTTGGCATGTTTCCCCCCCTCACCTTGTTCCCATGGTAATGTCTTCAAGCTGCCGGAGGTCTCTGGGTTAATGCCCTTCTCTCTTTTCACTCCTCCTCATAACACATCACCTTCTCTCAAGCTTGGCCTTTTTTTTTGAGGGGGTGGTAAAATAAGCATAACACAGTATTTACCATTTTCAATGTGGCATTTCATAGCACCTTAAATGACTGCTTTTCAGTGGCCTCAGATTATGGGTAATGAAGTCTATCACAGTCAATGAATTATGAAATTAAGTGTTTTTCTTTGATATAATAGACATTTCTTTTAAAGAAAAATGTGCAACCCTGTGTAATATCAAACGGTCAACTGCCAGACAGAAATCAGAGCTCTTTACCCCAGAGCTTTCTGTAAGCTTTTCCAAATGATCATTTATATAGACCCATGATAATTCAGCCCAAAGACAGTAAGCCCTAATTAACATATTTTTAGGATGCTTTTTGAAAGTAAATTAGTAGAAACTAGAAAATACATTCCTTTAAGAGGTCATGGAGGCTCTAAAAATACTTCATTTAGGAATTAGGAGAATGTTTTTATAAAATGTTTGACAACTCTCTTTTATTCTTAAAAATATAACTCTCTTTAAAATTCTTTAAAAAATTAAAATTTACCAAAAAAATTAAAAGTTACCATTTGAACCATTTTTAAGTGTGCAGTTCCCTGGCATTAAGCATAATGCTGTGTAGCCCACTACTATCCATTCCCAGAAAATTTTCATCAGCCCAGACACAAAGTCTGGTCCCATTAAGCAGTGACTCCCCATTTTCCCTTTCCCCTCGACTTCTGTATTCTACTTTCTGTCGCTATGAATTTACCTATTCTAGGAACCTCATATAAATGGAATGGCACAGTACTTGTCCATCTGTGACTGGCTTCTTTCTCTTAGCATAGTGTTTTCAAGGTTCATCCATGTTGTGAGAACCTCCTTCCTTTCCAACAGTCCATGAGCTTGGGCTTTTTCAAATATTTATTTTTATTTATTTATTTGGCCGCACCAGGTCTTCGTTGCAGCTTGCGGGATCTTTAGTTGTGGTCTGTGGACTCTTAATTGCAGTGCATGGGATCTGGTTTCCTGACCAGGGAGTGAACCCGGGGCCCCTGCATTGGGAGTGTGTAGTCTTCACCCCTGAACCGCCAGGGAGCTTGGGTTTTGATGGGAGGTGAGGAGGCAAAGTTTGAGATTACACTGATTTTGTCCGGAGTGCTTGTCAGCACTTGGGGGGATTCACTAAGGATTGCTCCCCACGTTTTCAGGGCCAGATGAACAGGTGAACAGCCGGCATCCCTCTGTGAGAACTGAGCCCCACAAGGGGACCTGAGTGGACCACAGTGTCTGAGCTACCAGGGAGGCAGTTTGTGGTTGGCTGCAATGCACTCAAGAAACTCTGCCCAGAAGGTTTGGGAGGAAATATTTTCCAAAGCTAAGGTTCCTGGTCACCTACCCCAGTCAGAAGAAATGTCATTATTTCCGTGTGTCATCTAGCTCTGAGCAGCTTTAATTCCCCATATGTCTGCCTGGATAAATGAACCAGCTATTCAATGTACACCTCTCCCAGCACCAATCCCCTTTCCACCCCCACCCCCCAACTAAAGAAATTCATTTGCTACAAGAATAACTTAAATAGAACCAGGGGAATTCTGGAGAATGTCTGCCAAATGTGATTGATTTTTATTTAAAGTAGTTTTGCTCTGATAATAGATAGCTTTCAGAATAAATTTTCTGTCATTGGCTGTTCAATCCTGGTTCATGAAATAAGACCACATCAACAGCAAATAGATTTTTTTTCTTCTCTACGGTAGAAAGATCTGAATCCAATTCACTTAAGAAGATTCTAAATAATCCATCTATAAATGGCATATGGGATGGGAAAGCAGGTCCTGGATTCCCATATACCATTGGGAATTATTTTTCAGTTCTGTTGGGGGGAATTTCTGCAAACATGGTGGTATGAAAGTGCAGGTTTTCTGTGAGCATCAGTTACTGGA